CCATTAGGGTCCCTACCAAGCCCGGTTAATTGCTCCCGATGCTCCTCAAAAATTGCGTATTATTAGTTTGAGTATCCCCAGATTTATATAAAATCTCCTACATACGCGCAGACCCGTTCTCAGTCTTCCGGAATGAGTTTGCTTGGAAGCTTGCAGAGGAGTCTAATCTCTACTTCACGACTTGCTGTTAGATCAAACTTCCAAAGAAATAGTCTCCCACTTGTAATAACAAGACTACGATCTAATATGGCGCCGAAAGTAAGTGTTCGCATATATCTAGACTTCACATTCGGCCACTCCCTATATCTAGCTATGACATCGTACTTACTAGCCATTGCGACCACAGCTCAAGGACCCCTCTCTCTTTAAGACTAATGTCGCCTACGTAAACGGCGAATGGGTCAAAGCCGCATCAGGCAAGACATTCGAAGTGCATGATCCGGCCAACGGCAGCCTTATCGGTACGTGTCCGGAGTTCACCGGCAAGGACACCGAGAATGCGATCAACGCCGCCGCTGCCGCATTCACCAGCTTCCGCACGACAACGGGTCGCGAACGGGCCAAGCTGCTGCGGAGGTGGTACGACCTCATGATCGAGAACGCGGAGGACCTCGCCACTCTGATAACGTGGGAGAACGGCAAGCCGTTGGCGGACGCCAAGGGCGAGGTCACCTACGCGGCCAACTTCTTCGAGTGGTTCAGCGAGGAGGCCCCGAGACTCTACGGCGATACGATACCCGTGAGCGTGCCGGGGAATAGGGTCGTCACCATCAAGCAACCCGTCGGCGTCTGCGGATTGATCACGCCGTGGAACTTCCCCGCGGCTATGGTCACGCGCAAGATCGGACCTGCTCTGGCCGCCGGCTGCACGATCGTGTCTAAGTCGCCGGGCGAGACCCCGTTTACGTCTCTGGCCATCGCCGAGCTGGCGCATCGGGCGGGGATCCCGAAGGGCGTTGTGAACTTTGTGACCTCCCTCGAGCATACGCCTGAGATCGGAGAGCTCTTGACGACGCATCCTGTCATACGGAAGGTGTCTTTCACCGGGTCGACTAACGTAGGCAAGCTTCTCATGAAGCAGGCATCCTCGAGTTTGAAGGTATTGTCAATGGAACTGGGAGGCAATGCGCCGTTCATCGTCTTCGATGATGCCGATGTGGACGCAGCCGTCGCCGGTGCAATCGCCTCTAAATTCCGCTCGTCCGGACAGACATGCGTGTGCGCGAACAGGATATACGTCCAGAAGGGTATCTACGACGAATTTGCCCAGAAATTCGCCGAGAAGGTCAAGGGGTTCAAGGTCGGCGCTGGGTTTGACGAGGGAATCACCCACGGACCTGTGATCCACGACCGGGCGGTTTCGAAAGTAGACTCTCACGTCAGGGATGCCGAGAAGAAGGGTGCCAAGGTCCTCGTCGGTGGACACAAGTTGCCAGATCTAGGTTCCAATTTCTACCAGCCTACCGTCATCACCGGCATGACGAAAGACATGGCGATTGCGGGTGAAGAGACCTTCGGCCCTGTGGCCGGCCTGTTCCCATTCGCGACAGAGAAGGAGGTCGTTGACCTAGCAAACGTCGCCGAGGTCGGTCTGGCAGGCTACTTCTTCTCACGGGACCTGGAGCGAATCACTAGAGTCGCCGAGGCCTTGGAAGTTGGGATGGTGGGTGTCAACACTGGTCTAATCTCTGATGTAGCTGCGCCATTCGGAGGTGTTAAGCAGTCAGGGTTTGGCCGGGAAGGTTCGAAATATGGAATTGACGAGTACCTGCAAATCAAGACGATTACATATGGAGGCATGAACAAGCCGCTGCAGAGTTGAGGGAACTGTAGATATCTACCTACCTAGTGGGCTGGACGATGATAACTCTTCTATAAAAGTTACAGGGGTTCACAATTTGTAAATGTATATAGAATTACGAAACTTACCTCGAATGAAATATCAAATAGAATATTATCAACATATATTTCCAGTCAAAATAACTGAATAAGTCGTCTTTGAGAATGATGAACCCAGAGGCAAAGAACGGCCAATGAGAATTGGAGCCCGAGCTCCATATTCTCCATATGCAAATGTCGCTTTAGTGCATAATCCAAAATTTGAGCCGGCAGCTGGCAAAGCTTCACCAAGCACAAACCATTAAAAATTCACGAGGGGCTCGACAACCTTCACAACACACACACCAATCCATCCCAATGATCCGGCATCCGCTACACTCGGTCGTAAGCCGTACGAGGCCGGACCTAAACCGGGTCACCGACAGCATCGCCGCCTCCCTGCGCCACTTCTCCGTTGCTCAACGACTCAGTGCATCCGACGATGACGACAAGCCCAAACCTAGCAGTCACCAGCGCGCCGCAGCCGCCTTCGAGGAGCTGCTCACGTTGACCGAGGAGACAGTCAGGCAGGTGGGCGCTGCCGCGGGCTCAGAACCGAGGCCCGCCTCAACACAGCAAAGACCCAATATCGTTGCTCTTCCCAAGACCTTCACCGGCATCAGGAAGTACGACGAGTCCGATGAACGAGCACCGCGGGGAGGCGCCGGTGGTGCACCAATGATCATCCGAGGCGGGTTCCGAGGGCGCTTAATGATGAACGCAAGTGGAAGAGGACCAAGAGGAGGAGGAGGAGACTCTGGCCCGCGGAGCTTCGACGGCTTCGGCGGCGGCCGCGGACGAGGTCGAGGTCGAGGACGGGGACGAGGACGAGGGCGAGAGGGCTCCGACGTCGTGGACAAGGCGAAGTTGCACGACGGGAACCCGGCCGACGAAGAGTTCGCGCCTCACGTCCAGAAGTACCTGGAGCAGCAGGATATGGGGCTGGAAACGCCGTTCCGGCCGGAGCTGACGCTCGAGACGCTGGCGGGCTTCGGCCCCGCGGTGGCGACGGACTCGACACCCATCGGGACCGGCGAGACCGTCATGCGGCACGCGCGCATCCTGGGCGGCGGGCCCGCCTTCCACCCCACCGACATCCCGCACCCGGACGACATCCGCGAGCTGTACCGGGACCGCGCCGGCGTGTTCGTGCCGTCGGAGGAGGGCAAGAAATACGCGCAGGCCGTCCTGAGGAAGGAGTTGGCGTCGCCGCCCGCCGAGCTCAAGACCGCCGTCTTGGAGTCCGCGCTCCTGGGCAAGTACGACGGGGCGAAGTACGCCGACCTGAACGACACCATCGGCGTCGTGCAGAGCTACGTGAAGAGGGATGCGTCATGGAGTGCGGAGGCTGGGAGGAAAATCCAGGCGAAGATCGAAAGTCTTATACCTAATCAAGGTCGTGCATCCAATGCTGGCGATGCCAGGCCAAAGGCTTGATTTGATCTATTCAGCCTATGCATGGGGCTCTGCTACGGGATACATATCAAGAGGGGGAAATGTGGATTGAGATCTCTTGATTTTCGCTCTAGACTCATTGCACCGTGAGCAGACACTTGTAACAGTAGCTCCTCGTCTAGTGTACACATAATATCATACATGGTATATATCCGACTCTATAGCCCACGCACACTTTTTGAATCGTGAATCTGCATTGAACTCGTTTTTCGTATATATATATATATATATATATATATATACCCACTAGCTCGGATTCTTGGCCGTTTTGAGTGCCCGGTTCTCCTCAAGGCCAATATCCTTCATCTCGAGCTGGAAGCGCTTATCCAGCTCCTTATCGGCCTGCTTCACGGTATCGGGCGTCAGGACACCCTCCTTCTTCCACTTCTGATGCTGCTTGTCGCGCTTATGCCTGACCTGGCGACAGCGCTCGCGCCACTCGTGGCACATGGCGCGGATGCGCTTGAGCAGGTCGTCGGGGGACTGGGGTTCGATCTTGAGGATGAGCTCGAGGTCGTTGTCGGGGTCGCGCTGGGGCTGCTGGTTGAAGTCGGGCGAGCCCTGGATGGCGCTCATGATGGGCTTGATGTAGGCCTCCTCGTGCGCGAGCACGGAGATGGTGCGCCCGCCGCGCGGGATCACCTGCGCCACCTCGCGCAGCGGGTACGTCTCCGCCGCCTTGCGGTCCGGCTGCACGCGCAGCCCGCCGATCACGTCCGGGTTGAAGCGCCCGCCACTCTCCAGCTTCTTCAGGCTCTGCTGGAAGTACTCTGCGTGCGCCCGCAGCCGCGAGTCCACCTCCGCTATGTCGAAGGGCTCCTCGGGGTTGGGGGCGGGGTGCTTCCGCCCATCGTCTTCCGCGACGGCGGTGTCAGCTGCGTCAGCCTTTTCTTTCTTGTTGGACTTGTCCTTCTTCTTTTGGGCGGGAATGGTCGCATGGAACATTCGAACGCCATTGGGAAGTCGGAGGCCGCTAGGCGAGGGAGAAGTGTGTTGGAGGATCGAACAACAAGTGTTGCTGGCGTTGAAGCCGCCTACAGCGAAAGCTGGTTGGGCTACATCGTAGGTTCTTCTATTCAGGGTTAGCTTGAGGTTCCTGGGGCTACTGGAGTCAATTGGGCTCAATTGAGTTCAATTGGAATGTCTCACATTCTTCCAAGCTTGGAATAGGCCTGGCTCTGCCGCAACACTGCTCTGACGGTTATGCTCATGACGGCTTTTGGCTTGAAAGATCCGTCAGTGGAGCTGCCAAAATAAATCTTCTGCAAGCTTCAAATTCTGTGTATCCCGTCCCCACTTTTGCGGCTCGGTGGGAGTTTCCGCCCCGTACCTTGCTCCGTGCCTTCTTCTGTACCTTCTTCTGTACCTTCTTAACCTTGAAGTTCAACATTCCGAAGGGAAAGGGCGAGCAGGTGTCCCACTTGGGATGTGATTAGTCAGTCTATGAAGCTGGTATAATAGCCCTATAGCCCTATAGCGCTGTACTGTACAGCTCGACTTCAAGTCAGCCCGAGATGTCTACATAAGCACGTGCATATGGAATAGCTAGTGATTCCATTGGTGTGAACCTATTCCTGGTGGGGGCTCCCCAAATGCCCTAGCTACATAAAGTTGCATAGAAACCCTGCTCACCATGCACTGCAGCGCAAGCTTGTGGTTCATCTACTGGTCGACTGGTGTAGTGGTTATCACGTTAGTCTTACAGTCTTGTATTGTAAAGTGCACTAAAGGCCGCAGGTTCGATCCCTGCGTCGATCAACTGTTTTGTTCTTTCATTTTTTTTTCTTTTTCTTTTGCTTGGGTAAAAGCCAGGTTGTTGTTAGAATTAATACAGACAGACATTGATTGATATACATATGTCTGTCTAGGTGAGGGTTATTTTTCCCCTTCCGATATATGTACGATTTACTACTTCAGCTGAGGCGAGGAGGGGTGGCAGGTGCTGGCACTATAAATGCCAATCTCCAAATAACACAAGTCTTGTGAATATTGTATTAATTAATACCGGAGAAGTATGATCAATCAAGTTAGCCATAGACCATTTCTATGACGATCAAAGTGTCTAGATCGATCAAACCCAGCAACAGAGACCCTTCCGATTATCTCCCATCTGCCTGTTGGTCTCCTTTCTTCTTGCTGGCCGCATGATGGTCAAGGCCCACACACCGACAACAGCAATCGTGAGTGGGATAGTTATGACTGGGTATAACCAGACATAGCTATAGTCGAGGTCGAAGAAAGTCATCGAAAAAAGCGTCTACGGCACACAGAGGTTAGTCGGAGAATCACCACATGTAGCCCACTTACAGCAACAAATGTGGCTGGTAGAAATACCATAGTCAGTAAGGCAACCGACTTCATCTGCTTTCCGTCGCTCATGGTAAGATCTGAGATTTTGACTGTCTCGTTGGAAATCCGCATATTGTCTCGAGCAAGGACCTGGTCCCCGTTAGCCTCGATGTTACCACCCCGGCCTTAGGTGAGATTGTAACCAAGTTGGTAGCTAAAGTCATTCCATTGATAATCATATCACATTCTTTAGTCCACCCTTCGTAGTCCAAGGTAATCTCGGTAAGTCGATCCCGAATTCGATGTCCGGCCTCTATAAATGTTTCCCGAGTTTTCTGTGTTGTTGTTGGTAGCTCTACTTTTCCATCCTCAAACCCGTGGTTAGCCTTGTTTACCCCGGTATTTTGATCGTGCTGGTATTCTAGTTCATCAACGTGAGTTATCATCTGAGAAAGAAGTTTGGTCCAGTGTTCTGCTTCATTTTTGATCGTGTAGATGTCAAGCCATGGGTCAATAGGCTGCTTAGCTTTGCCCAATGCGTCATACCCTTCGGCTTGAAGAACATCAATATCATCTTCTAGTGCCTTCTTTCCGTTTCTGATCAAGTTCATCATCCGTGACCTCTCAATCTCTACGAAGATACCGACTAGTAGCATAGGATGAATGAAAGCATCTTCGGAACTTTTAATGAGCCTATTGTTTACCCGCGTCATGATGCTCTTATGGAGTTGCTGCTCGCTGCAACCGTAGAATATGGCATAGTTGCGCCCAGAATGTGGAAAATAGGTAGCAGAGAGTGCCATGTCATCTTTCCATAGAGCGGTCGAGCGACAAGTGTAAACTTATTAGTATTAGTAGGTAAGTTGACCAAGATGCTTCCGATGTGTGAGTACCTATAGCAGGGGATGAAAGGTCATCGTTAGGCAAATAAGTATGGGAAAAGCTTGCAGCATAGTTTCGACTGATGACTCGTGCGATTGATTCGTGGATGAAGAACAGACTTAATATGCATTCGAATACATGTCGTGTAAAAGGCAAGTAACTCAAGCCTGATGCATTGAAAATACTGGTGGAGTCCTCAGGGGCCCGTCCCGCAAGACTTCCATAAAATATGTTAGATTATTTAACTTGCTGCAAAAGCTATAGTAGCTTACATGACAGAAGTAATGAAACTCTCTGGGCCTTCTTGTCTATCTTTATTCTAACACCACGTCAGCATCGTCAAATTACTACCGTATATCTGATTCTGGTGTTGGCTTAGAAACATACATCTTGTATCCATTGAAGCCATTCGACTTCCGTCTTCAAATCCCAGCATTTAGTTACTCGGTCATCCTATGTAGTAATATGATATTAGAAGAAACGGTTTTACCCCCAGAAAATGACAGGATGTTGTTACCTCATCGTTATAACCAAGCTTTAGAACTTTGGATTTTTGGCTTGCATATTCAAAGCTCTCGAGATCATGCTCGGACATTGTCCATCGTCTTCGCACCCAATCCATGGAATAAGCTTACGCAAAACGAAGTGTTGACTCAACCAACATGCATCATACATACACTGCAGTGAGACAACACAACGGAATACCTAGGAGCTAAGAGAAGTACCGAAGTAAAGTCAGGCTACCATCGCAGATGATCAGACTGACTCATATGGCCATTTTTTTCAAGTAAGGCTGACCAGAATATGCAGGCTGCAGACAATTGTGACACTGCCCGAGTTGGGGTACATGGGTTGTTTTTTCGCCCCCGCACGCAGTATCTATCTTGGAACCTTGGAATCAAACAACGGGGCGCTGATTTGGGTGATCACTAACGAGGCGGCTGCAGAAGAACAGGGGTGTTATGTCGTCAGGGTTTCAGTTGAGAAGCCACTGCTTCGGTAGCCAGAAGCAGGCTGTTGGGAGTTTGGACATGCAAAGATGCGGCTCTGTGAATGATGCCCAAAGGCGTAGATTCAGAAAAGGCGCTCTTACCAACCCAATGTTGAAAGTTACAGTAATTTATATGAAACGAGGAAAGATTATTGTTAACCAAGTTCATATTCTCACCTTTTGCCAAAAGCTGAGAGCAGGAGAGTATCGCGATATGACATTTCACAACTTCTCAATGGAGTATGTAGACAGCAGGAAGCTCATGGAAGCCCTGCACCGATTGCTAGGTTATGGAAAGTATTCTATTAATGTAAGTTTGGCTTCAAAACATGCCTGAAGCTTGTATCACGTCAAATACCAAATCCTCCTACTAACCACTTTCGTTAGCCCCCAGCGCATGGTGTATACAAAGTCTGGGTCGCTGATCCTGGATTGTCAAGTGTATGCTAGACTTCCCCTTTTTAATTTGCAGAGCGTTAATTTTTTTCACAGGAACAGTACAACTGGGTCAAGACCATGGCTGCAAAAAGACATTATGATACACAAGACTGAAGCACTCATAAAGACATTTCGCCTAGGAGATGATAATTTATACCTAAGACTCAAAAAGAGCTATACTTGCGGGTATCTAAAGATATTTGCGTATCCATCAACTCTTGGTCCAAACATCATGATGAGGAAAGTTGTGAGAACGAGGACTATCAAGGCTACTAAACAGACAGCTAATCCATGAGAGTTGATGGTTTGGCCAATTTTATGTATGCTTGCTCTTAATGTCATTATATGGGATTTCCAAATCGCCCATCTACGGGCCTCTCCGATTTCGCGGTAATGCCTAGAACTTTGACACTTATTGAGAAAGTCCACTACAAGATAGGGAGTTAGTCTTATCTCTTTTTGACAATTAAGTGAATTATTAGGAGCTCTGAAGCCTATTACAGCGTTTCACTCCCTTTTTTCTTATTCTTATTATTTTCTCTCAATTACCGGAGATGATCTGATAACAGATAATTTCTTTCCAAAATCAAGCCCAAGGGGGAAGTAAAGAGCTCTGGATGATACTTACTCAGTGTCCACACTACGGTAGAGCTGTCGCACCTATCACTCAACGGGACGATCAACATATTGGTTTCAATAAAATCCAAAAAATCGTGAATGAAAGGAGAGCATCGGGGCTCCTTGTGAAGGTGTACGATCCACTGCGAGTGCATTAGTCCTACTTTTAGAATGAACGAATGTGAACTCGGATTTTACTACTAAGCTCAATAGGGCTTCCTACCTCTGTGACGCTTGATTTGACCATGTAGAACTCCCGTCCAGTGAATACGTGTGTCTTGCGGATGAAGAATTTGTCTTCCTGGACATCATCCCCTAATGGTTCCTCATCTGCTCGGGCTTTTGGGAAATCATTTCCCACACTGTCCCACCCTCGAAGATACCAGGTAATGAAATCAAGATAAAGGCATCCTAATGACCAGATATCTAAAAGCGAAGAGCCTATGTTGTTTTCTTTGAAGTCCGCCTCTGGTGCTCGGTAGGATCCCTGCTGTACCAATATCGAGGCCTTTTTCCGAGTGATGTATCGGTGGAAATTGACAGTCCCGAAATCCGAAATTTGCAGGAACCCAAACTTGGATAACTCGGAGGTTCGTGGCTGGCTGATGGGTACCCGGCGAAAAACGTCCCCGTTACCATTTGAATTATTATCGACTTCTGTGAGATGCCTAGGGAGAGTCTTAAACCAAAGCACATTTTGCGGCTTGATGTCGCCATGAATACCGTGAATAGCCACATTAGAAGAACAGTCCATAGAACTTCCTATACTAGGAGGGGTAAAATTGTATCGGTGTATCTTCAGTAGTGCCTCTGCGATTCCGTGACATTCTTGCGCAAGCCACAGTGCCGCATCCTGAACTATCTCGGGATTTTTGTGATTCTCCCAGAAAGTCATGAGATTCCCATCTGCAACGGGGAAAAGGAGATGATACCTGCCATTAATCTCATAAGTCGCCAGTAGTTTTATAATATATCGTTCATTTCGTTGGCTGAACTTCTTCAAGGCCTCAACTTCTTGATCGAACTCTTCCTTATGATTCGCCGGCTCACTATGCCATCCTCTGGCGAGTCGTTTGACCGCAAAATCTGCGCCCTGGTTTTCCTGTATTGTCTATGAGTAAAACTTGAAATATTAAGGACAATGCATATGCTTGTTCTGGCACACTAATACGTACCTCGTCGACAAGAAAGTTATGATGAGCAGGATGAATCTTAACTCGGCGAAGCGTTCCGAAGAAACCTGCATACAGAAAGGCTCCCCGCCCCCCGTCTAAATCATCTGTCCCAGGTTTCATAAATGGAAGAATGTCATTAGTGTCGAGTGAATAAAAATGGACTTTCTCCCCAAGGTCTTCGGCTCTAGCAAAGAATGGGGCTAACATAACCCACTGTTGGCGTTCGAAAAGCGATATGTGAGCGGGTTCCCAGCTCTGAGCAGTTTGCAATCGGTATGTTGGTGAAGGATCACCAGTGACAGACCTGGACACCAGGAAGGTACTGTGTCGTGCATTGTGCTTTTTCAATGGCAAGTCTGTATCTC